GTAAATCTCTGTCTAGGTGACTCAATGTCTTCTTAACTCCGAGATGTCCTCCTGTTACAGTATCATGGGATTGATGCAGCACAACTTCCCATAACTTTCTCCGTATAACTGTTTTCCAGGTCATCACTTTCCTATCTGCAGTTTCCCATCTCCAGAAAAGAATAACATCTTAAAGCTTCAATTGGTCCCATTGTGCCCAGTAGTTCTTTGTCACAGGGCTTAGACTAGACACCTTCTCCCAAGCAGGGCTCAGCTCCATTTTAAAGCTTCCAAATCCCTCACTGCCATACATACTGGATTGTGATGCTAGTAATGTCGGAATTGGAGGAGTGTTGTCTCAGAAAGTGGGCGAAAACGAACATGTGGTGGCCTACTTCAGTAGGGTTCTGAGTAGACCAGAGAGAAACTACCGTGTAACATGGAGGGAACTCCTTTCTATAGTAAAGAGTCTGACATATTTCCATCCTTACCTCTATGGTGCAAGGTTTACCATCAGGACAGACCAGGTATAGATATTAAAGCAGAGCAGGAGAAAGACCAAGATTTGAATAAGTGATTTCCTAAAAGCAAGTGTTTTGCACTCTGCTTGGGATAAGGTGTCTAGCTTAATCCCTGTGACAAAGAACTATTGGGCACAATGGGACCAGATGAAGCTTGAAGTGGGTATTCTTTTTTGGAGATGGGAAACCGCAGATAGGAAAGTGACGACCTGGAAAACAGTTATACCGAGAAAGTTATGGGAAGTTGTGCTGCATCTATCTCATGATAGTTTAACAGGAGGTCATCTCGGAGTTAAGAAGACATTGAGTCACCTACGACAGAGATTTTACTGGACCTGCAGTACATGTTGTGCTAAAAGGGGACCCAAGCATGAGGGACGTGCTCCAATGAAGTTATATCAAGTTGGCACACCAATGGAAAGAGTAGACATTGACATTGCTGGTCCTTTGCCCCAAACTCGTGCTGGAAACAAGTACATTTGTGTGGTGATGGATTATTTCACCAAGTGGCCTGAGGCATATACAATCCCAAATCAGGAAGCTACAACTGTAGCTTTGGCTATTAGTGACTTCTTCTTCAGATTTGGTATGCCATAAGAACTGCATTCAGATCGAGGGTGTAATTTTGAATCAGCTGTGTTCCAAGAATGCTGCAAGTTGTTTGGCATCGAAAGACCAGGACAACGCTACTTCACCTACAGTCTGATGGGATGGTAGAAAAGTACAATTGGACACTGGGATAGGAATTGGCAGTTTTGTAATAGCTGCCAAGATGACTGGGATGTCTTACTCTCTACACTGTTGATGGCCTATAGAACAGCAGAGCATGAAGCCACTGGATACACTCCAGCAAAGTTGATGTGTGGTCGGGAACTTCGGTTGCCAGTGGATCTGATAATAGGATGCCCACCTTATGAAGAGTTGCCTGAAAATGTGTCAGAGTTCGTGAAAGTGTTATCTAAAAGGATGGATGATATTCATCATCAAGTGTATTCAAACTTAAAAACGTCTAACATGAAACTATGTTATGATAAGAAATCTACTGAATTCAGCTTTGTACCAGGAGATAAGGTGTGGTTGTATAATCCCAGTGAGACCAAAGGGAAGTCTCCTACGTTGTCTTCTCCATGGGAAGGCCCATATGACATAGTGGATCGTCTGTCAGACGTGACTTTGCGAATAAATTGTGGTTGGCGAGGTAAGCCAAAGGTGGTGCATGCCAACAGGCTTTTGCATTATCACGGTCCAGGACATTTCAGTTGGAACAAAGTGAACAATGGAACAAATGTTGCTGCTGAAGACATGTCACCTGAAAAAAGCCACTGTTGAGGGAAGAAACTCTACCCGGTTTTGAGAAGGGAAACAGTGAAGCCCTTAATGAAGTTACTACCACTGATGTGACTGTTACTGATAATAGGACATTTCCTGATGGAGCAGATGAACCTCATGTGAAGCAGAAGCCAACGAGACGGAGATCAGTACGGAAAAAGATACGTCCCGTAAAATTAAGAGACTTTGTTGAATTTTAATTTTGTATTTGTAAATTCTGTACATTTAATTAAGTTATTGTTAATCATCTATTGCTTTAATGTAAGTGGCTATTGTTCGGGAAGAACAATACTAAGGAAGGGGCAGTGTTACGACAGCGGAAGTCATGTGACGCTGGAAGCATGGGTGCTGGAGTTTCTAGAAGGATCATGACTGTTCCTGGCAACTCTAATCTTTTCCAGGCGCCCTCTATTTTAGTATATAAGCCTGTCAAAAAATTGCAGATATAGGGACAGATAATTGAGTCAAGCAAGCAGTAGTGACTGTAAGTAAAGTGCGTGAATCGTTGTGAATTATAGCATGTGTTTAAGTTAAAGTGACTGTGGAAATTCTGTGTATTGAAAAGTTGTACTGAGAAAGAATAAACTAGTTTTATTTAAGAAAGGACTTCTTTCGCTGAAGTTCCTCGAGAATAATTTATACCGGAAATTAACAAACAAGTAGATACGTAACATTATTAAATTAAATCTTATTACAACTACAAACATCTCTTATGAAGTTTCTTGAAATTGATTTGTTGAATTGTGATAACTGTGAAAAGTACAAGAAGATCAACATCAGGTTTATCGTTGAAGGCTAAGTATTTCAGTGTACTGCTAAAGCATGATTGTTAAATTATGATCTTCAGTATGAGTTGCTTGAAGTTCTTTCATGTCATCTGTTTACCTTTCAAGTAAGATGCTGATTTTGTTTTCTGTCATGAAAAAAAACTTAGTTTTCTGGGACTTAAGTGAATGGTGGAGAGCACAAAAGTATCAACTGAGATACTTGGTTTTCTAAGGCAGGTTGAGGCCAAACTTAGGTAAAGGGAGTTTAAAGAAATTATGTGGCAGTATGGTGACTTTACTGACACCAAGAAACTAGATTTCAAATACGTTTGCTTCTTTTGTCTTTCTCGATATGCTACTGTTTAAATACATAAGAAGGAACAATGTTTACAGAACTCTGTGGAATATGCTGCAAAAACTGCCTCAGTCAAAAAAGGTTTCTCAGGCAATAAAGCAGATTTTGGTGGAAACTATGAAACATGAGTCTTTCATCCTCCAGTGGATAAATAAGAATCATGTGCAGTATACTGGAGGACTTAAGAATCTTATAATTACAAAATCTTTGTTTCCCTGCTGTGGTATGTTTCTCATTTTAGTTTACAAAGATGAACATTTCTCGTTCATTCAAATTATTTGAACATATATTTAGTGCATGTGTTGTACAAGCTAACAGATAACTTGCTAAAGAATGTTGCAATCTAAGTTATTGAGCTAGTCATACATTATTAAGGATGTAAGATGTCACTGAATGATTAGTTAAACTTACACTAATGTGTTCTATATATAGTGACATTGGTCATGCATAGGTTTAAAAATATCTGGAGGCTATGTCCTCCCTGTTTTTACTTATAGAATGACAAGCAATGTATTGTGGAAGAGTTGACTATTGTAATATGTATAAGTGATTGATTCTCTAGTTCTTGTCCAGAGTTTTTCTAAACTTTTTTCTGAGATAGAACTCTCAATAGCAACAGAGTAGTAGTGTCCTTTTGTGTTTATGCACTCATCCTACGTATATCTGCCCCCACCCCAGTAACTTAGTGATAAGCCTGAAGGTTTATAATGCTAAAATTCAGGTTTCGATACCCATGTTGGGCACAGTACAGATATCCCATTGTATAGCTTTGTGTTTAACAACAAACAAACAAACCTACCTGTACCTGTTAAGAATTGTACATTTGTCTTATTCTGCAGATAAAAAACTGTATGCTCTTCACAACATTCTTTTGAATCCAATCAACTCATTCAGGTTAGAAGTTCAGTTTAACTCCACAATACTTATTCTACCAAACTTCTAGTTAGAGCACTTACTATTCTTAACCTGAAAGTGTTCAGTGTACTTGAAAATTCAACACAATTCTTCAGAAATATAGACTGTTATTACAAGAAAAAATAGATCCTTCTAAAGTAATTGCTAAGGTTAGAAACATAAGGAATCATAAGAAGGACCAGCTGGACTCAACTGAAAGTCGATATTATTTCAACTACTAAGATACAGGAGGTTAGTTCATTTTTTCAAAAAAATCAATTTTTTTCAAAATATAAAGTTTTATCACTCAAATTTTACACTCTCAGGTTTATGTGTATAGTAATGTGTAATACTTAAAATATTAAGGCCTTTTTTGCCGACTCTTTTAGGTGTAGAGATTTCTCCATCTCTTCTCATTTAATTCTTGAATGTATCATCGAGCAGTATCATAAATAATGTAATTTTCTTTTTCCACACTAGTTTGGCTCACCAGAAAAAAGTAGAGATAATTATGTAACTCCATTAGTAACATCATCATACCACTTGTTTCAGATAAATTCAAAAACACAAAAAATAACTGTAGGGTTTTAAAAGCTTCTGGACAAACAAAATCTTTAAAAAGATACCTTTGTTATAAAAATAAAGTTCTGAGGTTCCAGACTTCCACAAATACAATGATGTCCAATGTTAATTATTTGACAAGGTTATGTGAATATTACAAATAAATGCAAAATAGCACGGGATATGCTAGTTGTATAATTAACAGAGTTTATTTACAACTGAAAGAATTATATTTACATGTATTTTTTGTGTTATTTGCAAAGAAATTTTGGTGGATAAGAATGAGAATATTAGATTCAGAATAAATCAACATAAATCCTGTGTAAGGTGTCCAAGTAGAGCATTTTTTATAATTATATTTTAAGAACTTGTTAAAAGTTGAAGGAATCACTTTCTCATTTAAACTAATCTTTTTTAAGGATTTTATAAATTTACAGTTATGGCTTTGCTAAGAAGAATATTTCTTTGAGAAACTTAGAAGTAAATTAAATTATAAGGTATTTCGGAGACAATATTTTTATTTCACATATCACTTTATTTTTTGTGTATTAAGTGCACACATTAGGACCATGCTTTTATGATGTATAATTCTGATGATTTTGTTTTACTTTTAATGTACAAGTTGGTTAATATTATCTTAATTGCAATGTGCAATGGATGCATTTTATATTTTGAACGTTTTTTTCATTGTATTTTAAATTCCTTTTACAGATAAACTTGTGTGGAAAAGTGCTGCCTCTTAATTAGTAATTACAATAAAAAAGTGTGAATGATTAATGCATCTTGACACTTACTTAATTTTTGTCAAATTTTTGAATTTATTATATGCCACTGTTCAATATAATACTTTAATTGAGACACTACACTAAATTGACAACTGTTTTGAACATTTAGTCATTCTATTTTAATCAATTTTTCTCACTGTTTACCAGAAATTTACTTTAAATATTAGTTGTTTTTATGTTAAATTTGAAAATTGCTTTTAATTATTCTAAGATATATCTTTTAATTCCCAGCTAGCTGATAAATATAGAATACTAAATTCTACCAAAATTTGTAAACATTCCTAGCTAATCCAGAGTTCATGCAAACTTTTTGATACTGTATCTTTACTAATATTTGTTGAAGTAAAACTACGACCATCAAACCATCTACACCATTATTTTAAAATTTAAATTTAACAATTTCAAACGATCAATTAAAATATACTTACATTACAGTATCCACTGATTTAGGTTTAATGAGAATAGCAATAGGATGCAGTCCTGCTACCTGTAACCGTTTGATAGCATTGCCACTTACATCTAGAATGCAGTGTTTACCCTGATATAAAATAAATAACTTGCTTCAGTTATACTGTTATAAATGTAATTAATAATCTAGTTTTTAGTATTATGTAGAATTTACAAATAATATTTTTTTTCTTCTTCCCTTAAAGATTTTAAGATAACATGTATTTACAACTAACAGATTTTCCAACTAGGGAGAAACACAGCTAGATATGAATTATAATTATAGTTAATTTTGAACCTTCTAAGACAGTTATTTGATTTATATTTCCAACAAATAACTGCCGCTGCTCACACCTCATAAGTCATTCCTACATGGTACCCTTATGAAGTTAAAAAGATATAATTTCTGGAGTTTTCAAAACATTTTGAGAAATTTTGCTTTTACTGCATTGAATAATATTTTCTTGATAGCGAAATAAAAGTAAGTTTTACTCAATAGAACAATAAACTATCATTCTCTCAACTATTCTTAATATGATGACTATAATCATTCATTAGTTATTTATACTCATTGTAGAAATCATTATCAAAACATCTTAAGAAATTTTGTTTTTACTGCATTGTATATAAAAATTGTTATTCATGATAACCATTTTTCAGGAAATTAAATACCAACTTATAAAATTATTTAATAAATTTAACAGATTTTATTTCAGCCCTGGTATAATTTTTTATTTGAAACCTGTAAAATTATCTTTCATACAATAAAATTAACATTATTTTTTCTTGTAAACTCACCTTTTCTGCAACCTCCCTAACAGAGGCCAAACTTGTACCATATAAGTTATCATTGTATTGACCAGCTTCAATGAACAAATGGTTCTGAATGTCTTTCTCCATCTGCTCTCTAGAAGCCACAAAGTGATAGTCTTGGCCATCAACTTCATAATCTCTCCTTGGTCGAGTGGTATCTATAATTCAAATAAAGCTTTTAAAAGTTTGTCCTAGAATTTAAAATATAAAAGAAAATTGAAGACCTTGAAAAGAAACTTATGAAATGCTGTAAAAATTATGTGTTACAGTGCAGCCAATATAATATAAAAAATTATTTTTTATATTTATATAATTTTCAAATAAGACAATGCCATGTACCAGATATAAAATAGAAGGAAAATCATGGCAAACAGCCTCATAAAAGACAGTCTTAAAGCTCCATAAGCTACAGAAAATCATTTAACAATATCAATTTTAAATATCTAATTGATCATACTGTATAATGATCATTTAAGTAGTACATATATTCCATGAAAATATAGTTTTCTCTAACCTAATAAAGTGACATATTAAAATCACTGGTGTTACCCATCTTCCTAAATATTTGATAAAAACTTTTTGGGGGGTTTCTTAATGAGCTTAACGTTTATCTGGCAGTTTGATATTCTAATTATGCAAGTCAAAAAGAGCCCAATTATACTAATTGTCATCAGTATCAACACAGACTTAATTTATACACTGTTGCATATCAAAACTAGCTTTCTCAATAATGTAAAAATTAAAAAAGAAATACTTACAGTACCATTAGTTTCAGCTTGTCTAAGTAGTATTTTTTTATATGTCATATCTGTTATCCTACATTATTATGTAGTTGCTTGTTATATGTTTCATTTGCAAGTGTTTTCAAGCTTGATTTTTTAAATTAACATACTATCTAATACCGTACATTCTCTTTATTACACATCTTTTTATATATTACTTTTATGATTCATTTCTATTAATAGACTAGTGAATAAGTAGTTATTATACTCAATTATCCTCCTGTTACAATGAAAAACATTAAAACTAAATCATCTTACTTTTTAACTATCTTATAACCATTCCCACTCAATGAATTAATAGTCATAGCATTTCATAATATGAAAAAAATTGGTCATTCATGTAGAAAAAAAATAATGAGGATAAAGAACTGACTTAATTAGGACGATGAAGTTACAATTAGTCCACTGTACCATAAGCTCTTTGATATTCTTACAGAAAATCTTTTTTAACATAAATGTTTGTTCTCATTTTTTAGCCATAGGGAGGTTTGACATCGTATGAGGAAGATGCAACATCTGTAATTTTCTCCAAAGTTTTATAGTTTTTTTTTGCTAGACTAGAGTAGATTTTATTGATTCCTGATTCTATTAGTAATTTACATTGAATCTGAATTAGTGAGTTTCAGTGCTGTAAATATTGAGTTTATGTTTTGATGAAGAAGTAGAGATACAGGAAGTACTGTGTGAATGAAAAATTTAGTAGGTAAGTTAAATTGTTTTGTTAGAATCTATTATGTACAATTATTGAGTGTTAGTTAATTTAACTGAAGAAGATGTTGTGGAAGAAATGAAACATTTTTGATGAAACTTTGTAGATGGACAGCAACTGCCGGTTGTAGAGACACAAGTGTAGAAAACGACATTTCGAAAGTCTTCCATCATTTGTCTTCAGCGTGTGTACGGTGTTATTGGTCTTTATAGTATTCTGGTGGATTGTGGAGAGTGTGTTATGATTGGTTGGTTTATCTCTGTTTTTGAATGGAGGAGAGATTTCCTGTAGATGCAACCAATGGTAGCCACAGGTTACTCATCTTTAATCCAGAATCTTTAGCGAAGGTTTAATTGTGTTAATATAAAATAATTCTCTAATTTTTCTTGTCTTTCAAAATTTGTTTGTGTCGATGATTCTAGTTTTTCCAGTTGTAATGGCGTGTTCTGCAATGGCTGAATTTTGTGTTTTCATGAGTCTTGTACTGTCTTTATGTTTTTTTATTCTTGTCATGAGTCTTCTTCCATTTCTCCAATGTATGTTTCGTTGTAGGAACACAGAATTTCATAAATGATGTTTTTGTGTTTCTCATTGGTAGATTGCTGTTTGTTTTTTACCAGAATGGAAACTTAATGTCTTGTAGGATTTCCACCGGACTTCTATGTTGAATTTGTTGGCTATGCGTTTGAGTTTTTCACTGAAATTTTGCAGATAGAGGAGGTAAATGGTAGTAGTGGTAGTGTTTTTCTGATCTCTTCTTTCTGTTGTGGTCTTTTTCAGGGAGTTTTTGATGCAGGAGGAGGTGTAACCATTCTGTTTAAAAACCTCTAAAATCTTTTGGTGTTCTGTTTCGATAGATGTTTTATTGCACATGTTTTGTAGCACCAGTATAACTACAGGATCTTCCTGGATAACTCCAACTAATCACTTTTCATAAATATTATGAAGTATAACACATAGGCCATTTAAAATACATTACCCGATCCAAAAATCAACAGACTATAGTGATGAGGTACCAGAGAAAGCATGTCAGGTACTATTTGAAATAATTTCCTAGTGTCAATGGATGGAATATTGAATAACAAACTATTCATCTTGCTGCTCATTTAAAAGGACCAGCTTTTACAGCATTAAGTAACCTTCTAACAGAGCACTGTAATAATTATCAAGCATTTGCAACCACCTTATCAAACACCATTGGTGAGTCACATGAGAAGGAATTTCCTAAAATAAAATTTATGAGTAGAATAATGAGAGAGGACAAGACCCAAGTCAAACCTGCTAAAAATGTGGAAAGTTTATTTATTTATAGTTAAGCACAAGGCTACACAATGGGCTATCTGTGCTCTGCCAACCATGGGTATCAAAACCCAGTTTTTAGCATTATAAGTCCACAGACATATTGCTGGGCCACTGGGGAGCAATGTGGAAAGACTTGCCCATAATTATCATATCCAAATGCTCTTAATGAAATAATATATTCACTGCATGCAACCAATTCATAGATGCTATAGTGGATAAGATGTATGAATTAAGCCACATTGAATTAGAATCTGAACCAATTAAAGTTGCAGATAAACAACTAGAAGTGCCATCTAATAATTATGGGATCATTAAATCAAACAAGGTGGAAACATGAACTCTCCCTGATGGAAATCTATCAGGATTAATTACTCAACTGTATATTCAGAATGGAAGAAGTACACCTCAGGACAGAATATGTTTAAATTTCAACTTAAAAGTTAATATTTCCTGGAACTGCAGACCAAAGCATTTAGGATACAGAAACTGCTCTCAAAGGATGACAGGAAAATTAAACTGCTAAACATGTAGGTAATGTGGACATTACACCTAAGACTATGATAAATCAACCATTAATAGTAATGTAAGGAGATAATATCCTGAAGATGAGAATACACTATCTGCCTCAATTAAGATAATGAGTTCATTATTTAAAGAAATCAGTCCACATGTCAATGGGTTCATTGATAGGAATCCTTTCTAAATATTGATTGACTCTGGTTCTATACCTCCTATTATCTGAACTGATCTGGTAATGAAAGCTGAGAAACTACTCTCAGAGATGAATCAAAAAGATGAATTGATGTACATAGGAAATGGTCATAAAGTTCCTATAAGAGGACAGTTTGGAAATTACTTCATAGAGGAAAGCTTCTCTGCACAGCTGATGTGTAGATAACTGACAATGAGGAAGAATTTATATTGGGAATAGACTTCATGTGGAAACACAAAGGTAAGTTACACTTGCTTCAAACATTTCATACAGTCTGTGACCAGGAAATCTCTGAGGGCTGCATGAAAATTACACAATCAGAGGTTGAACTTCCAGTGACAACAAGAATAGAAGCACAGAATTACAAAAAGTATTCAAAGACAGCACTTACAAGTTATAATATGAGAAAATAATGTCATAGAAATGAAAGTAGATCTGAAAATCACAGTTAGAAATCAATGCACAAAAGGAAATACAAGTAAAAAACAATACTTCCAACTTATACAGTTAGAAAATGATATTTCCAAGTTATAATATAAGACATACAATGAAATACTAATACTTTCATGATATTCAAATATAAAACAATGTTTCTGAGGTACACTGAAAAAATACATTTAAGATACACAGCTAAAGTTCTCAGTGATTTTGAGGTAAATGGAAAAATATTTAAAATGTACATAACAATACTTACGTGGTATGCAACTACCAAATTGCTCTGGTAGTTCAGAGATGAGATCATCATTAATCCTGTCTTTTAATGGACCTAGGATAATTACTGGCCTAGTGTAAGTAACTAATTAGAGAGAGAGAGAAAGAGAAAACAGATATAAAATTATCCCCAGTTAAATTTTATTTTCATATAGTTAGAATGCTACATGTAAGAAGTTAATACAGACAAGGTATATTAACAAAGATAAATTATATTTAACTAATTTATCAGTTTGACTTGTTATTATGAAAAATAAACATTTCTCAGTTTTGAAACTTAGGTCTTTTGATGTTTATTACAGAAAAAAAACGTGAAATTTTCTAAAATGTTAAAAAAAGTAATGATTTTTTTGTAAATGGATATATATAATTTAAATTGAATTAAAACTGATCAAGAAGCTAGAATCAAGTCAATTAATGTTAACCACAGCATTACTTGTAAACTCTACCAGAGGTTAGTACAATATCATCTATAACCGTATGCTAAGACAATGGTCAATATTAAAATATATGTAATAAAAACCAAGATAGTGGCCATTACCAAAAACCATCTCTGATCATAAGTTAATGATATCAAACACATTTTCAATCATAATTCTTGCTGTGGCTAGTATTCAATCATAAACTTGAAAGTTCTAACTAATAAAATATTGTTTACCACATTTTGATTTCTTTTATATTTTGTAAAAACATTAACTTTCTAATTTCAAAACACAGTCAAAGGGAAATGTATGCCAGGATATAAAATCATGAAGATTCATTAAAGAATTGTACAAGTTAAATAAAAATGACCAAATCAAATTGGGAAGAGTTAAATTTGAGATTGGGTGAAGCATTATAAGTAGAAAACTTTCTTTAATAACAAATTCTAAATCACAATTGCCACATATAAGAGGTTACTATTGTGAACAGACACAAAATGATCTTATTGTTCATTATGTGTAGACGTCACTGTGTTTAAGCTATATTTTCACTTTTTTTTATGCCTAACAAAAGTGAATAAAATCATGCTCAATGATAAATATTTTTTTTTCATGTTCTTTTTAGTCAATCTATATTTGATTTTGAGTTAATAGTTACAAAATAACATTTCAGCCTTATTGTTTCTTCAGTGTTCTTACTGTAGTTTTCTCTGTTTGGATTGTTAATTTTTAATGATCACATTTAACAAACAGGCTTATTTATGGTTACATTTTAGTGCCACATACAACTGATACTGAAATACTTTTCTTTTACTTTATACAATTTTTTTTATAAATGTTGGAATTTTACATGTAAATAGATTGATGAATTACTGTTGTTTGGAATGTAAATAATTATTTTTTTTCTTTCATATAACAAAACAAAAGAAAAAATGTGTCATAGCAATATATTCAAAAATTTATATATATATATATATATTTAATATAATTTCACCATAAAAATATTTACGTTTTTTGTGTGTAACAGCTTCATAAGAGAGTATAGGTTCTTCCTGTCCACCTGGAAGAAAGAAAAGAAATCTATTCTCAATTTATTTGCATTAATCTACAGGAAATATAACTTTTCAGTGGTTTTAGAATGTGTAAAAATAGTTAAAACATTAAATATATAGCAAAGATATATCCTTCAATTACAAAGTGGGTTCAATCTTCCATATATTTCTTCAATTTCCAGTTTTGTGAATTTCATGCTATTTTTATGAATATTTATTCTGCTTTTTTTGGTTGAAATACTAATATAATTTGAAGAAACTTATATACCTTGTGTAATTAAAACAAAAAGCAAAGATAATTAAAAATAAAAGAAAAATTAATACATATGAATGCAAGTAGTTATTCCAACTTCACATTTTCTTCAAGAAATATTGTTAACTATTCCCATCTGTTGCTGATTTTCCACATTTTCTGACAATAGTTGTTTGACTTAACTTGTTTATATATAATACCTGATATCATATGGAATTAAAAGCTTTCCACATGTCAGGCAATAATTGCATATATTATTGAATTAGTTACCACTTTACATTTAAGATATAGAATAAAAAATTAAGGTAAGAAAAACATATTAAAAGATTAATTAAACAAACCATGGAATACCTACGTAAGCTTCCAGCTTCATTGTCACTGGTGTTTGTAATAGAGACTGGATCTGCACCTAAAGAAAATAAAAATGCATTAATAGCCCGTCAAAAGTTTGAAAAAATATTATACTCAAACATACAATGGAAAATAAAGCCTATACCCAGCTAAAATTGCAGTTGAAAGCAAAATTAGTTATTATCAGTTTGCTAGGTCAATAATCTGATCATAATATAAGCCTTATTTTTTATTATGACATAAAACTGTAATGAAATGTACTTGAATTGACTTTAGGCTAGACAGTTTGATACTATTGTTTCACAGTGAAAGAGGTCACGTGCACATCATAGTGTGTAAGTGGTGTGTCAATAAAGAGCATACTGTGTGATTACAAGCATATGTAGATTTATCAAGTATTAAGTTATTTTATTAAATTAGATAGAACTATTGGTGATAATACTGCTTAAAACTACTGTTTTCAAGGCTTGTCATAATAAGAGCTTTATTGGAAAAATGATGTACAGTATATCAAAATGTAATACTAGTATAGGATAAGTTTAATGACATTTAATTTGAAGCACAATTCAAAAGTAGATCTCCAATATTTCTGCTATATTATCTTTTGTTCTTAATACACTATAAGCTAACCTTTTGTAGGAGAGCCATCTCCTGCAGCATAAAGATGGTAATAAAAAATACAATTCAGTAAAAGAGCTTCAAGTATAATAACAGTATGTGAACCTGTAGATTAAAAACTAAGAAAATTTACACTAATACAAAAATACTTTTACATTACTATTATCCTAACTTTAAAGTAAACCATTTTCAAAATTTTGAGACAATTAAACAAAAATACAGTCTTTGTAATAGTTCTTTTTATATTTACCTTTCAAATGAAAGGAAAACACCTAACTTACCTTTCCATCACTACCATCTTTGATGCTTTCACCTTTTTTTAAACTAAAGAATAAACTCCCAACATATTTTTCACATCAGAAACATATTGTTACGACAGCAGAAGTCACGTGATTCTAGTAACATGTGAAGAGTATCTAGAAGAGATGAGTGTAATCTAGATGTATGCTTCTATAGTATATAAGCCGGCAAATAAAGTGATGACAAGGAAATAATTGCAGACAGGCAGAGACTGAGATGGACAATTGAGTCAAGCGCGGTAGTGACCGTAGGTAAAGTGCGTGAATCGTTGTGAATTATAGCATGTGTTTAAGTCATACTGACTGTGGAAATTAAGTGTATTGAAAAGTTGTATTAAAAAAAGAATAAACTAGTTTTATTCAAGAAAGAACTTGTATCGCTAAAGTTTCATCTGAAAGAAATTATACGGGAAATTAACAAACGACCAGAGACGTAACAATATTTATATTACTTTGTTATTACTATCATCTTCTGTAATTTTTACTTTATTTTAAACTAGACAACAAATACCAAACATACCTTCCTTTCGATAATCACCTAATGTACTGTTGGATTAGTCGATAAACTAAACAAGTACCACTTAATTTACTTTCTCCATCAGCTTAATCTTCAGAATCTTTGTCTTTAATTTACACTTCATAATTTAATCACAACCAACTTCTCTGTACTTTAAGCCTAAAATATATAAATAACACCTAAATTATGATTACTTTGACCATCACTGTCACCTTTTGTAGCATTGTCTTTACTTTAAACTAAACAAATAGTAAATACCAAACTTAATTTATTTATCAAAATCTTCTATACTGTTGGCAACTATATGTTAAAATATAAAAGGAACACCTTACTTACTTTCTCCATCACTACCATCTTCTGTACTGTTCTCTTTGCTTTTCATAAAGGGGAACTTTCGGGAAAATGAAAAATTCTTCTTCTTTCTATCTAATGTATTCTATTAAGAATAAATGAAAGCTGTGATAAAAACTGAAGTTAACAGTAGACATGCATTTTTAAAATGGAATTATCAAATTCTGGTTTCTAGCTGTGTTTGACCTATAATATTAAAACCAAGTAATACCATTAACAAGCCAAGATTTATCTACCTAATACATTTATATCTCACATGACAAGCTTACCTGCATTGCTCATCCAGTCTCATGAAATTATGTGGTCGAAAACAAAACATATACAATGTTAGTCATTTTTAGATTTATTAGAGTTTGTTTGTTTGTTATTAGGCACAGAGCTACACAGTGGGCTATTTGTGCTGTACCTACAACAGATATTGAAACCCAGTTTTCAGTATTATAAGGGCCAGGCTTTCTTAAGTGTCCATTTTTCAACTGGAAAATGTTGAAAAAAATTCTTCTCCTATAAGTATGATTTATATAGTTTTTGAAACTATTACTACTGAAAAACTTTGCACCAAAAATCTAGCACTCAGGCTACATTCTGTCATATTTTTCCACCTTGATGAAGATGACTACTGTTTTCCACATGTGTTCTCCTTTACCAGATTATATTGTACCTCGAATAAAAAGGCAAAAAACAAACAAATTGTAAGAAGGTTTTCCCTTCTGCTGCCTTTTTTCTCTGATAATATTTCAGCTGCCTACATTGTTTACAATCCATTCTAAACATACAAATATGAAACCCATCATCAAAATGCATACAACCCCTGTATATTAACAAAGACAGGTGTAGAAATTAATGTGATCTCTTTTACATTTCTACAATAAATTCAGCTACAGCAGGCCAATAAGAACAATTATTTTGTATTAGACTACTTCCGCAGATCATAAATGTAAGCTTTTATTATAATATGACATTATACTTAGAAGTGCAGAGCATATATAATGAGTTGAATTAAAATGGTGATCTCCTTTACCCATTCTGTGAACTCCTTTACATGCATCTAACCATGTCCCCCAATTATCTGTTTTTTCTAAATAGACCTCTAATTATTGCTTACAGATTTAGCTTTGTAGTTTATCAGTCATTTAAACCTAAAACTACCACCACACATACAACCTGAATGTCAGTTATACAGTAAAAGAGATACACACTTGTTATGTAATCCCACTTTCAAGGAGTTTTCTTTCAGGAAAATGAGTTGATCTGTGACTAATACATTTGAAATCCATCCTACCTTAATCATCTGCACATGGTGGAAACTAAATATGGTGGGAAAAGCATTATGCACTCCATATATTCCCCTCTAAAGTAAAACTGAAGGAAAGGAGAACACATAAAGTAGTTCAAGCAATTTCATGTTCAGTGATTTTCACCGAAGAATGCAATTTACTCTTACCCTTTCAGTTATTGATAAGAACAAATGTCTTGGCTGTTGTGTATAACGATATAACAGAATTACATAATCTGAATATCTACACTAGATATATGCATAAAGGAGATCATGTGCTTAAAAAAACTAATTTTATTACAAGCTGCAACTGGACATACCCAAAATATCCCTTAATACCCTGTGTTTGGAGTGTGATAAAATCAAATTATATACTTCCTGGATTGATTTTAGACTCTAATCTTTTTATTTACTAAAAAATGTGCATTATTGCTTTGAAAATAAACAACGGTAAAGGAGAACACATGATTATGGTGACATGTTATTTTGTATATTTTTATATGTGAAAAAGTAATGGGACAATCAGCTAATAATAAATTTTCAAAACATAAATGTTTACTAATTAATCACAATAAAGGCTTGAGTCATGCTTACAATATTTATGTTTGTGTTACTGCTTTGAAATTAAATTTTTATGCTGGTGACATGCTACTTTTAACACCCCGACATTGTTTATATCCTTGAGTTGCTGAAAAAACTTAATACAAACTCAACATATTAAATATGCTTGGAAAACTCTGTCCATCATCTATAATTAAGAAATCATTATATATTTGTGTAAGGTCCATACTCAGATAAATTTGCCCCACAACACTAGCGACATCAAATTGGACACTTAAGAAATCCCGGCCCATAAGTCTTCAGACCTACTGCTGAGCCATTGGGGGAGCAATTTATTAGAAAGTAAAGCATGTAGTGGAGTAATATGTAAATATATCCAGTATTGATGGGATAAAATGTTCCACCTCATTAACTGAGAAATGGACTGGACATAAAATTCAGTCCTATCACTTACTGTGTATTAATACTTGCAATACTATTTGAAAGTTTCTTTCAAAAAATACACAATTCTCTTACCTTTCCATCACTTATGATGCTCTTTCCTTGGAACTTTACTGATTTTAATCGTGCTCTCTCTCTCCTTTCAACTCTACAAGAAACAATATTACAATCAAGTTTTGACTTGGGTATATATATATATATATTTTGATTAAACAAGGACTCTTAGGTAAAGATAATTAAAAGTGATTGGGTACTTAAGAAAAATAAAGGAAACATTTACAGCTTAATTACCCTGTGATCTCAAAATGGCAAAAATATGTTTAGATTTATTAATACATATAAGCAAAAGTTCAATGAATATCTTTTTTTTAAAGACAAAACTACCATATTACAAAATACACGTTATTTATTTCATACCAGAACAAAATATAAACTATTTGTTAGTAGAAAGATGAATTGAAAAACATTATCTATTCCATCTGAAAACTTTACTGAGAACACAATTGGATGTGTTGCGTCATCGAGGTCACGTGACTGGTGTGGCGCCACCTATTTTCTAGAACTATCCTGTACCTTGGCGAATGCTCTAGCATTTACTAGATATAGGGTAGTGTGGTAAATAAAAGAGGTTGACAACGTGACGGAGAATAATGTGTGTGTAGATAGTGAGTAATTGAACTGCAGTCACAGGGTATTGTTGAAGTTAACGTTCGTTCGTTATAGGATATTAGGGAAAATCAGTATTGTTACGACAGCGGAAGTCATGTGACGCTAGTAACACGTCATTAACTTCAAGAAGGATCCTGTCCCTTCCTGAATGCTCTAGCGTTTACTAGATTTCGGTATTCTGTGATATATAAGACGGTCAAGATGTGACGGGAACAACGTAATGTGTAATTGACAGTTGAGTCGAGCACGTGAAACGTTCGTTGTGAATTATAGCGTTTGTTTTAGCACGAATATTGAAATTAAGTGTATCGTAAAGTTATATTCGGAAAGAATAAACCAGTTTTATTAAGTAAGGACTTGTGTCGTTAAAGTTTCGTGGGAACGAAGTTACGGAAAAATCAATTAACAAACGGAGACGTAACAGATGGAATATTCTTTCAGAAAATTAAAAACATTTCTTTTAATGTTTTTATAAATAATTTTTTGACATTTTATGCAATATTCCTTTTTAATTTCTAATTATTGTGGTTGAAATCAACTAAGTTGTTAACCAATAGGTTAGAAAAAATAACTTCCTTAAAATTCTTCAGTTCAAAATATTCTATTGTGGAATGTAAGTTACCATAATATATTTTTATGGTTTCATTTTATAAATTCGGTTCAGTTGCTCTGTTATTAGCTTACACATCAAAAGACCAAAATTTCTGTAATAATTCTATAGGCAATAATGGAAGTTATTGGTTTTTCAGAAACAAAAAGTGTTCAAGCAAAGTTCATACAACCATCCCATTATAAAGATTGCATGGTTAGAATATGTCTTAGAGATAAAGGTGGCTGGCTAAGAATTATCTACAACAACATGAACATTTCTTTCAACAAATAAATTTATAAAATGTTTCTGAAACCATGGAAAGAAATTTACGCTAATTTTGAGGTATAATTGACTTCCCTTAGAGTGTCAAGATAGGTTTTCAGGATAACAAGAGATTCAACAATATTTTTATTACAGATTAATAAATGAAGTAAGAAATAGAGAGAATGAACACAAATTCATAGAAATACAATAAGCAATTTTTATTTATAAAAAAAAACAGTCACTTTTCCCGAACTGAGCCTTGGCTGTTGAGTTTCTCCCCAAACTGTACTCAATGAAAGTTCATCTAGCTACCAGACTGTTCAGTTTAAAACCTTATTCTGCACTGTCCTAGTGTTAGATAGTTAAAATGGTAACATAATTCTTTCCTAGAGTGACTTGTGCTATACACGTAACTGATCATTCATTTTAGAAAATATGGAAAGTTGTACAACCTTGAGATATCACCTGACCAAAACAAGGTAAATCTTCACAGCTACTTCCTCCAAGGGCAGGCCAGATGTTATCTCAGATGAATGAAACAGAACAATGAGTAGCTGGAGCAAAAAATATTTAATGGCATTCTTGACCACATGTTATATGAAAACTTTAAATACACCTGAAAACCTGACAAATTTTGAAACATTCTTTATTAAAATAAGAAGGCAGGAAATGCATGGTTTGCCTATATACTACATTTTTCCTTCAGGTTTGACCTCAAACTGCAAGACATTGTAACCTTAAAAACCATTTTATGTCTACATAGCATATGCACTGGTCAAGGAATCTGGTGTAACTTTATCTTGCCCCTGTAAACACTTACCCACAATGCAGACAACACAATCCTTTAACAAAAAACATATTGGTATGGCTATACTTTATAAAACAAAAATAAA